CACACCCCTGGAGACGAGGTTTGCCGGCGGTCCTCAATCTAGGAACACAAATGTGTCGAGATTCGTTCTGCATGGACCGACCTGCGGTGCCCCTCACCTTCCAGCTTCCTCGTGTTCTTCCTCTCCCCCTCCCTGTCTCTGATAAGAACCAATCCTGGGGTCTTATTATGGGCGCTTTAAACTGTATTGTCCTGTCTTTTCGTCATTTTTAGTTCAACTAGCATCTTGAACTCATATTTAGGCTCCAAATCTCACAAGTTCCTACTGCGGAATGTGCCTTCAAAGTAGTGGGATAGGTATATTAAAAGGAACATACTCCGGTCGCGAGGTCAGATATAAAACCTTCCTCTCCAGTTCATCGATGCGTAATCGCACCGCAGATGAATAACGTGACAAGTTCTTCATGCTCTCATATATACGGCCTTCAAATTTCGGATCAAACTGATTCACACGTCTAGGCTTACAAGTTGCCTGCAAACAATCATTTCAGGGAATCCAAGAGATCTCAGACTTTAACCGCTCACAGAAATCTTTTTCGTATCCGCCAAGAGTTTCTTTGCTTCGTGGAGCTTCAGGGCGAAATCCTCGTATTTTTGTAGAACTCGCTCAGATTCAAGCCTCTATAACATGAACTGTACAAACATATAGTCAATTAAGCCTCTATAACAGACCTAACAAAATGCCGCTCAAAGAGAAATATAACCTTTAACTAAAGAACACACCTCCAACCCACCCACAGCAGGCCCGAAAACTAGCTGCGAACTTTCGCATTCCTTTGCAAGTGCCATTCTTTCCTCAACGGAGGTTTTTCTCTTCTGAAAATCTCCAGTTCACACTATTAAAATCTTTCTTGTAACATTTCACCTGCGCCCCTTCAATAAAATATGCTCGTGTAAAGACCAGTCTTTCTAATAATTCTTGGAGTTCGCTGGCGTAAAAATCTTAAGTTTACTAGCTGCGCATTTCATAGACAGCTCTGGTGCTTATGCCGAAATAGTGCAATCACGCGACGCGCAAAACCGACACCGTGTCGCTGCCGTGAACAGGGTGCGGAGCATCGCTTTAATAGATCATCATATGGGTCCTAGCTTGAAGCGGGGATCGTAATATGATCGCTGGGAGAGGGGGGGGGGGGTAAATGATCGTATGTGCCTTTGAGAGAAACAATCGCGTTGGTTTTCCGGTTATTGACTTTTTGCGCGATTTTTACTGTATCATGTGCGCACTAGCACCCACCCCCCTCCAACATTCCCCACGCTTGACAGCATAATCTGGCGCTCGAGCAAGAAAAAAAACTGCGAAAAATGGGAAATGTAGGTAGCGTATGGGAAGGGGGAAGCGGATCGCTAACCGAGACTTTCATTTAAAGTCGTAGGGGTCGTACTGACACTCTCTCTCAGGGGGGGGAGTCGTACCTACACCACCACCTCACACATCACGATGCTGTGCCCTGGTCGCGAATCTCCCAGCGGACGCCCAGTTTGTTGAAACCGTCCAAAGATAGGAACGTTTGAAAATCTGTAACTTACCAGCTAACATAGCCAACATATCCTGCATATCATCATCCAGTTGGAGCACCATTCGCTCAATGTCCTCAACTGTCTCCAAATTATCCGCGTGACTGAGAGAGTTCACTGAAAGACTGTTATTCAAGTTTCGAGTTTATCAGAGCGGTTCAGCACTTCAAACTCCGCAAGTTATGGTAGTGATATTGAGGGGCCGTCTCCCAGTTCCGCCCCCTCCATCCTCAGTATGCAGCACTTGCATCATACCAAAGTCCCGCACCGAAACAAGCACGCAGCGGTAGAGAGTAACCAGAAATGAGAGAGCGCAGACAAGTAGCGTGTTTAGCTATGGTAGGCGTGTGGCAGCTAGGTTGAAGTCGGGAGACAGCACCCCTGTGTCCCCTCCTCCCTCCAGCCTCGTTCCAGTGCACTTTTGAGCTGAGAAAGTAGCACACTAGCTGCGGACCCATTCATCCCGCACAAGGACCTAAGTCCACAGAGGTGAGTGCACGGATTGTCTCCAAGGCACACAATACTTTCCAGAGTTTTCAGAAGAACTAGGT